TGCCTGCATTCATGCTTTTTTTTTTTTTTGTTTTGCCATTAGAGTGCCAAGGGCATTACCGCACACACTGTCCTGCCCACCCACCCCCTGAAACTGCCTCTAAAAGCCGGCAAAGGCAGAGCTCAGCCTTGGGTACTGCATTATTGCCACCTATGGGACATATAATGCTTCTTGGGGGAACCATCTGGTAACTCTGGAGGCCCATTAAAAGTGCTAGCAGCCCACTTTCAGCTGCAAGCCCTGTGTGCGACCCTCAGCTGCACAGTGTCGCTTGGGGCCAGCACCAGATGGACACGCGTGCACAGCAGGAGCCATGCAAGGGCTGGCACCTCCTCTCCTCCAGCCTTCCCGGTGTGATGCAACGGTAACGTTTCCTTCATGCATCTGGCCTGGAATGTAACATGTCTCTGCCCTGCCAGACAGCCTGTGCTCCCCTGCCAGCACCAGCCTGCAGGAGCTCAGCTCCTGACTCTGTTGTTACAGACAGAACGGATTTGGCTCCTGTTCATACCATGGCTGGAACAGAGCTCTTTGGCTTGTGTCTCTCTGGTCACACAGATGCAGCCGAGGTTAGGGTTTGGCTTGGCTTATATTAACTGCATAACTTGTTTGGTTTGGTTGCATTTTAAGCGGAAAACTGAGACCAGGAAAACTGTCTCAAACATGATATTAGCACAAGGTCAGTGCATAGCTGCTCCTTGGGCAAGGGGGCCAAAGCGCAGGGTACGGGGCTATCAGATCATCTGGACCTAAGAGAAGGGTTTCATGCCAATTGAGATCATGCTCGTATCCTGCATCTTTGATCATACAGCTGTGGAAATATAGTTGCAAAAACGACAGTGAAATCTGTTCTGATTTACGCACATGCATATTGGACAACCAGACAGAGCTGAAAGGCAAGGAGACTTGGGGGTGTCTACGGGTGTAATGTCACAGAAGAAGGAAACACATCCCTACATCTCCCCTTTGGACCCTCTCCTGGCAAGAGTCACTCAGGTTTTGGCTTGGCTCAGTAGCTGTTCTCTGAGATACTTCTTGGGCTTTTCTCATTACCCACAGCTGCGGTACCCCGGGGTGGTGCACTGGGGTTTGCATGTTATGACAGCAGAGGGTAGGGCTGCTCAGGACTGACATCTCTCTCTGATTTCAGGAACTGTCCTTCGCCTTTTAAAAGAAAGAAAGAAAAGCAAGGTAAGGATTTGTGAAAACACTTTAGAGGACAAGAAGAGGTGGAGTGACTGGGCCCCTGGTTAGCTGACATTAGTCAGTGCTGACTGAATTGGATCCCTGAGGCTGAGGTCCCCTCCCATGCTCTTTGTACCTAACCTTCAACCTTCCTCAAGAGAAGTTTGGTAGAAGCAAGAGGCAAAAATTCTTTAAAACTTAAAGCAAGGGGTGTGATGTGGCATGGGACATGGCAAGGGGGAGGGAAGTGTAGCAGAAGCTGCATCAAGATCCTGTAAAAGCTGCAAACATCCTTCTGACATCAGGGCTGCAGAATAAAGTGCATTCACTAAGTAGCCCACTTGTGTCCTGTGGCCTTTGGCTGGGCAAAATATGTTTGCCAGGCAGCAAAGGAAATAACAGAATTAAAACTGGCTCTGACTTCTCCAAGGGCCTGACAAGGAAGCTCTCTGTGCTGTGTCTGTCCTTCTAGGTTCTGCCAAGAACACTGCGGTCCATAGCATGTTGTCATCCTGTGAAACCTTATTTTTTCCAAAGAAAGAAGCCCAGGCTTTCTTCTTGGAGACAGCATTAAGGTTGAGGGTGTCAAATGAGTTGGAAACTTGGTTTGTGTCCAGTGGGGAGAGCCCATGGGCCAGACGCTGCATTTCTGCATTCAAATGTAGAACAATAAACAGCTAACGTTAACCTGATCTGCTGGTGTTTCTTTTTCAGGAGCTAATGTGAGACATGAGACCCCACAGCATCAGCCTGGCAGGAAGGTAAACAGCTTCCCAGAGTTGTTTTTCTGACGGTATATTGAGCTGACCACCACTTCCGAGGCTAGATGGGTTGGGAGGACATGGGGCACCTCACCCTGTCCAGGCTGTAATGGCTGTGGGAACGATGTGCATTGCTGCACAGTGATGCATTTTTTTCCCCTGAAGTGCAGTGGAAGCAGTAGGATGAAATCTCTCTCTGAGTCTGAGGTGTCAGAGGGCTGGATGGCGCTGGGGGCAGTGTGCAGGGTGTCTCTGCCTGCCCTGGGGAAGGCAGTGTAGCAGCAGCCTTAGGGAGCTGACCTTCCAGAGCTCTTTCTCCCCAAAGGCTCCAACGTACGAAGATGTCCCGGAGTTTCCTGTCTACGCCACTGTGAGTAAACCCAGGAGTGCCAATCAGGATGACAGCATTCATTATGCAGACATCCAAGTGTTCACCAAGGTCCGGGAGCGCTCTGCAGCAGAGGTGAAGAACTTACAAATGCAGAATGCCACAGAGTATGCCACCCTCAACTTCCCCCGGCCCAGGCTGAAATATGACAGTAAGAATGGGACCCTGGTATAAAAAGTTTGATGGCCCCCTCCTCCTTCAGCAGAGAAAGGATTTCACAGACTTAGAGATGCTGTAGATGCAAGCTAACCTCATGGACACATCAAGTCTCCCTGAGAAGGTGCAGAGGAGGCTGTCTTCCACCTGCATTTCTCTTGGGAGGACACAGACATATTTATTCTCACATGATGAGTAGTTTCCTATCTGATTCTGCTGACAAAAACATGTCTTTCCCTTGGAAGAACTGCCTCTGAAGCTGGCACCCCATCTCCTCTCAACACCGTGAGAAGACAGAGCTGCTCCTTGGCTGATGAAGGGTGAAACCACAGCCCAGAGCTCCAGTGAGAAAGTTCTTGCTGTGGCACAGGAGCAGCTGAGTGCTGCTCTGCAGGTGGATTTGGGAACGTGGCATACAGGAGTCAGTACTGGGACAAGGGAGGTGTTGCCACAGGATTTTATGCCAATGTTAGAAAATTCTGCAATGTGCAGAATGATGTGGATGATTCTATCAAGAAATGGCATGAAACCTGTAACAGTATCTACTGCAATGTCTTCCTCCAACACCTGCCACTGTAATTGCAGTCATGCACTACGTGTACCCCCTTTTCTCAAAAAGCAGGGTTCTGTAACCATGCAGAGGACACTAAAACCAAGGCCAGGAATACAGAATTAACTGGGAGGTACAGAACAACTTCTTTCACGGAATGGCTGTACAGATAGGCAGCCTTACCCCAACATACACAGAAGTGAGTAGTGAGCTCTTGGCTCTGACTGTAAATGAAACAAGGAAAATTCTCAATTTAACTGCAAGGCAGCCATTTAAAAGCCACTGCCTATATTTAGGGCAGTTACCCAGTCCTTAGAGTACAGCAGCTGTCTGCGTGCCTGAGATACTGGGAAGGAATCCTGGTCAACTTTGCAGAGGGCTTTGGACTTTTCCTCCATTTTTTCTTATTTCATACCGTGAGCCTTAGTTATAAAACCCAGTAATATAGAGCACACACCATTGTGGTGTTTTCTGCTAAGCCTCCCAGATGCACCTTTGAGAATTTGTTTGTGGATTTAAAATAGTGTTAGTAATGCAGTATAGCAATCCCCCAAAAGGCTTCTGCCACAGTTGCATTAGCAGTTGAACAGGGCTCCCAAGCAGCATCTTCAGGCACTAAGTGCTTGGCACATTCTGTACCTAAATAGTGGTCTGTATAGCTAAAGGCAGATCATGGGACAACCTGTTTATTGACAGTGTTTCGAAATTGACATCCTGGTACATTTCGTAAACATACATAATTTTGCATATTATGGCTCAGATAAATGTAAAAAGCATGAAGGAGTCCCTGCTCATCACAAAAAAATAAAGCTGGTACGGGCAGTGTTTGCTAAGATGGAAGCGTTTTGAGGACCAATCCTACAATTTCTACCTTTTTGCCCATGCTATCCAATAGACCTCAGCAGGGCTGTAAGGCCAGAGTAACGTTTGCAGGAGAAGGCTCCTTTTTAATAATGGATACAGTATATTTTTCTACCTGAAAAGGGGTTTTTTTTGCCCATGCTATGCAGCTGACCTCAGTGGGGCTATTGTAAGGTCTGCAGTAGAAGGCCCTTCATTTGTAATGGGTACAGGATTATGTTATTGGAAGGGCTGGTTCTTTTGAGTGCCAAGGATTCTTCTTTCTGCTCCTCCAAGTTCCTTTCTCTACTCCTTGCCCAGCTGAGGAGGATTGAATGGGCACAGGATTTACTTCCAAGAGTGTGTCAGGGAGCCATGGGACACTCTAACATTCAGTCCTTCTAGCCCAGCTGTCAGAGGGGCAGCCCAGGACACAGATCCAGATCTGGTTCATGCTGCACACCAGTTACATACATCCTTGCACTGAATTGCTGGTACGAGAACTAGAAAGGGACACTGGCTTCAGTTCTAGTCAAGCTCTCTGCATCATAGGAAGAAATTGGATTTTTTTAGAAACGTTATTAAATATGGACTATAGTTCAGGAGATAGGAGGTTTTCTAGAAGGTGCAGACAGGTCATTTTAAAAAAAAAAACCCAACAATTTGAGCCCATTATTGCAGTGGTATGCACAGCATGTGGTACTGAAGTTTTTCCTCACCCAGCAGGAGAGCTGGGGCCAGGGACAGCAAGCTGCACAGGCACTGCGGTCAAGCTCCTGAGCCCGGAGTGGTGTAAATTTGCACATCCATCAGGTTAAACTAGTTTTGCCATGGACATAAGCAGGACTGGGTTTGGCTCAGAGGAACTTGCTTTCCACTTAGTCACATCACTTAGTTCTGTTGGTCTGTGGATCAGCCCTTTTGTATTCTGAATGAACAATGGGAGCTACAGTAGAAACTATCTTTTAATGAGTGCCTCAAAGCCTGGAATGGTACTTTATCTCATATTCCCTAAGGAGCTCCAGCTTCCATACGTATCTAGTACTTGGTGTTATTTCTGGAAGTACAGTGTATCTTAGAGATAATCAAATGCTCTGCGTAGGAACAGTAGTAATAATTTTGCCTGTTTACCAGGCTTTGAAGTGATGTGAAAGCCACCTGTTCTGCAATAAAGATTTTTCGAAAGGACTTGGCTTTGCACTGGATACTAAAAGCTTCCAGCAGCGTTATCTCCTGCGCTTCCCGAGGCTGCTATGTTTAGGTGTTAAAATGAGTGTATCAAATATTCCTTGACCATTAAAGATGTCATTTTTAGCTTTAACTAATAAATCTGCGCTTTTTGGGGAGGCCATTGCCCACTGGCTGCATTGGAGCTCTGGGGGGCCGGGGCCTGGAGCCCACCCAGCCGGAGGGTGCCCGCTTCTCCCCGCTGTGCGGGGACGTGTCCCCAATGCGGACAAACGCCCGGGAGCGGGGCGGCAC